GATACTACCCATTTCCCTATCTTTTTAACCAGTTTACAGTAAACAAATTTATTCTTTATCCCATGGAAAGCCAGCTTATGATCATTTAGAAGAATGAGATCAAAATCTTCTCGAAAATTCAAGTGCACAACATCAGTAAGATCTTCCTTCTTCAGATCTGACACTCAGTCATTCAAATGGGTGGTGCTGTCTCACTGACTCCTTTCATTCCTTCAGTACCAAAGCCAAAATAAGCAACAGATCCAACGATAATGAATAGTTTTGTGATGTTACATATGAGTTGCCCTAGAATTCAGCAAGAATCCATGCTTTTTCCTCTCAGAAGGCCAGAACCCATTCATACCACAATATTTCTTTTTGTAACATAACACAGCTTCAAACAGGATTAGGTAGAGGTATAGAGGTATGTGTGCTGCCATTAATCTCAGTGTTTGGACATCACACCACAGATGACAGAATCCTGACTGTGAAAAGTATTCTTTCTCTAGCTAAATTGCTGAACAGAATGGAAAACCTCCAGACATATTTAAAGTAAATGCACAGAATGCGCCATATCTGTTCTGGAAGTATATATCCTTTGCTGGCAATAGAGAAACAGCACTGGCCAGAAACAATATCACCAGAATTCATAGTTCCTAAGCAGCAAGGTAGGCACAACTTCTGCCTGCAAAGTAAAAGTTTGGAAGTTCTGCATATGAGAAACCAGAAATCAAGACACTTTTTTATTTTTTGCTTCTTTACTGGTTTTATGCATACATGCTAATACATTCCTTGAGCTTTTGTTTTAGCACAGTCCAATAAGACAAACAAACAAAAAGCTTTGCAAGAAAAATAGGTGCATTTTTTATTTAAATTTTTATGAACGCGCTTAATGCTGTACTGACATTTGGTGGGAAGGCCACAGACTAAAGATTAAACCATTCTGGCATTACCAAGTTCTGACAATCTGGGCCAGGCAACACTTAGGAGCTGCGAACACCAACCCCAGCGCTTTGGCAGGATATCCTGGGAGCAACCAACAGGTGACATAAAAGAACATCTAGAGTATCATTTTGAGAAAACTTCAGCTTCAGAGCAGGGCAAGGTCTTAGAGAGACACAGCAGAGGACTGGAGCCAGCCCAGGGCTGCCCTGGACTGCACCTGGAGCTTCTATGCGCACAGAGAGCAGGGGAGGTGACCTGCAAGCTCAGGGCTGGTGTCACTGTAAAACACAGTATGTGCACAGTGTTTTGTTGCAAAATATATACGTGCAACAGCTAATTGTAAGAGCAGTGCTTACTCCCTCTCACATCCCTCATGGAAAATGTAACTGTCACATCAAAACTGTTAGTAAAACTTTGCAAGCCTGCCCTTGGGTCCCATTTCCTCCTCAGGCATGGAACATCCCGAGTTGCTTCCACGACAGAGCTCTATAGCCCTGCCTCTGGTGCCAGCCTACTAATAATTCACTCTAAGATCTGAATGGTTCACCCCACATCTCTCCCTAGCACTAAGCGCCACCAGCGAGGCGTGCTGCACGTTTCCTATGCGGGTCCATGCCCACCAAGAACCGCTGCCATCAGTTCTGCTCGCCTCAGTGCGCTATGAAGGGAGCCGCAAGTCCCCGAGCCATCACCCCCCGCACACATAGAGCGGGGCTCCCCAGAGCCGGCGGCGGGAGGCGCCCCAAACCCACCGCATCGCGCCTGCGCAGAGCCGAGCCCAGCCGCGCCCTGCCACCGCTCACGCAGGCGCCCAACCGTCGCCGTGCGGCCCATCAGCCGGCAGCGTCCCCGCGTGACGGCGGAACCAACGGCCGGCTGAAGCCCACCGCCCTCCCCCTTCGCTGCCCTCCTCTCCCCCCTCCTCCGCGGTCCGCCGCAAAGGAAGAGCCGAGGCTCGGCTCCGGCGGGCAGCCAATCGGAGCTCAGGACGTTCATCCCGCCCCCGACGCGCCGGCCACTCAGCGCGCTTCGGGGCACGAACGCGCGAGCGGATTGGCTCCGCCGAACGCTGCTGGCCGTCCGCCCACCAAGAGCAAAAAAAACGACGGTAGCACAGAGGCCCAAAAAGCCCGAGGGAAGACGGCGAGCAGGCCGCAGGCCAACCGCGGCCCAATACCCCTACGGGCAGCGCCCGCGAGAGTCCGAGGTGGCCGCCCGCCCTGGGCCTCCGAACGGGGAGGCGAAACAGCCGCGTGCCAGCCGGCCGAGCTTACCGCACGGGGGGAGCCGTCCGCCTCCGCTTGTGGTGATCTTGGTCACAAGTGGCGCGCCGTAGATTCGCCGCGTTACGTCACGACGCAGGGGTAGGGGGGCGGGCGAAGCCCCGCTCACGTGACTCGGCACCGGGGCGGGAGCTTGAGGCGCGGCCGGCGCGAGGGCTGTCGCGTGGCGGTGAGGGCGCGAGGGGGTGCGAGCGACGGCCGCGCGCAGGGGCGGCCCCGGCGTGTTACGCTGCGCGGGGTGTTGGCGCCGGGTTCTGCTGAGCCGCGGGGAGCGGTTTGTGGAGCACGTCCACGTTTTGCTGTCTGGTGAAGAAAGCACTCAAACACTTAGTAATTCTTCCCTTTTTAAAGCCAGGTGGTTAGTTAAACACCGAAAGGAAAGCGGCATAACCTAAAGAGCCAGACATCGCAGAATCATAAAATTTGAGTTGAAAGGGATCTTTGAAGGTCATTTTGTCCAATTCTCCTGCAGCGAACGGGGACACCTACGGCTGCATCAGGTTGCTCACCACGCCGTCCAGCCTGACCTTGAGTATCTCCAGGTGTGGGGCATCCACCACCTCTCTAGGTGACCTGTGCCCGTGCCTCATCACTCTTACCTTAAAAAAAAAAAAACTTTCTCCTTATGTCCAATATAATCTCCCCTTGTTTAGTTTGAAACCGCTTCTCCTTGTCCTGTCACTGGAGGTCCTGCTGAGGAATCTGTCCCCTTCTTATAGCCCCCTGTAGGTACTGACCCAGAACGTTCTCCAGGCTGAACAGCCCCAGCTCTCAGCCTGCCTTGACCATGGAGGTGTTGTGTCGCTTGGATCGTCTGTGATGGAAAACAGTTGCTCTTTCCCAGCTGCTTAAGGTTTTTAAAATAAAGGTCTGCCACTTATATTCTGATTACACAGCCTTTTTTTAGTAAATCCTATTTAAGTTAAACGTCATTTAGCATTCTTGAAAGCCAGTGGGTGGTAGCAGTAGAAGAGAGGAGACTTAACCTATGTTTGGAGTTTTGCCTATTTCATACCCTCTACAAAATGCATTGCCAGGCTTCCTAATTAGGCATAACAACTTTGTTTCATTTAGCCAACACGCCATTGGCTAATTTATTACCCATACAACTCAGAGATGCTGGCTCTGTGGTATGTTGTAAGGGCCACGAATGGTTTAAGGACAGGCAGTCTCTATAGCCTGAGGCCTGAAATGATTGCAATTGCAGAATCATAGCCTGGCTTGCATTGGAAGAGCCTTCGCAGCCCACCCAGCCCCATCCCCAAAGGATTTTTTTTTTTTTTTTTGTCCAGTACCTAAGGGTTGTAGTGCATATTTTAATTATCCTTTATCTAATAATGAATCTAAAGAGAGGAAGACTCCCTGAGTTTGGTACAGATATATTAGGATATAGATGTATATGTACCTTTACAACAACATTTAAGCACTTTTGTAGACTCTGAAGCCTACAGAGAGACTGTAGGAAGTCACTGGTGATTTAAAAATTATCTAATTAAGAACAGTTTAACTGATAACAGCATAATTGTTCCTGATTTTTTTAAGAATGGAAAAACAACAAGGCAACGTTTTTATGTCTTCCAGGTTTAGTTTCGCTGCATTTCACACGTTTCTTTTATATTTCTAGAAATTTCTGAAGATCTGCATCTCAAGTAACATCTGTACTTAAATGTAGTACCCAGGACAGCATCAGGTATAGCCTGAAGAGGGAGCCGTTAGTATTGTAAAAGCAGCAATAAGTGCACAGCAGGTACTAATTAAAGGAAAACTAAATCTGTAACAATAAATAAATAAATAAGTTTATATTAAATGTTTACAGACATGCCTACATTTAACACTTTGATTTAGATACATACATAATTAAAGTCCTGCTGCAAATTAAAACGCCTGTTCTTTATTCTGAAATATTTATACGGGTTAAAATATATCAAAATACAAACTAAATAAATATGCCAATGGTTAAGTAGTTAATATTTCATTTTTAAATGAAATGTGAGCATAGAATGTATTTAATTTCTAAGAAAAAGTGACATTAGGAATGATTCTGTAGTTGCTGTATTCCTTCAACATCAAAATAGCTATTTCACTAGAAATGCTGCTTATTTAGAGCAGTACTGGAGTTACACAGTACCTAGCTGTGTAACCTAAGCAGGAAAGGTAGACAATTATAATTTTCTGTGCTCATTCACATACAAGAAACAGCTTTATCTCATTGGATGAGAAATGCAGTCACAATAATCATACTTAACAAGTTTGAGTTACGGGTCACTTTGTCACTTATGTATGCATTTATATGTATATATATATATATATATACAGACACATACACACACATGTACATGTACCTTCCCCTCTTTTCAATTCAAAATGCTTTTCCCATAGGAAAAAACAACCCTTGAGAAGCCTTATCAAGTGGTGATTTTTCTCTCATTTGCAAAGCAAGACTAAAAGAACTGCTGTGGGGCTGCCCCTGCGGACCTCACGCTGAACCAGCCTTGCACTTCATTCCTTGCCACCGCCTGTGGGAAGAAGCCTGAGCCTGCAGCCCTGTGCTCAGCCTGGTGCTGAGATGCACCATCCACCTTGTCACGGCCATGCCAGCACTGGATGCAGAGACCAGGCTGCGCTTTGCTGTGGCATTCCAGCCAGGTCATGGTGCCTGTTGGACCGTGCTTTCACTACAGACTGTGCCTTCTTATCCACATCACTAATCTGTAGGTTTTACAGTACAAATGTGCCAGTTAACTCATTTCAATTACCCATAGTTACTCATTTTCATGTGAACAAAATGCTCACCTGCTGCTTTATACTCTCAGTCAGACTTCTGTTTTAACGTAGAGAAACTGATGTAAACAAAATGTAACACAAACCATCTTCTTTCTCCACCTTTTTCCTGTTATTAGAACTGCAATATAGATGGGTACAATGAAAAGCAAGACAGCATGTACACAGGCTTTAATTATTGATCAGAAGTTACCTATCTGAATTTCCTATAATTTCATACAATCTAGCACAAGGAAAATTTTGAGCAGCTTCAAGAATGCTTTTACAATGAAAAATCCTATTTATGGCAGTTTGACAAGTTCTCATGTTGCAATTATTGCAATTTGAAATGAAAAAATCCCAAGTGGATAATTTCTCTTAAGTATTGTCCTCCCCTCACCATCTTAAAGCAAATACTTAGGTTCTCAGATTCTAATGGAAGAGTGTAACTGTACCTACAAATCCTTTCCTGTAGCCCATGAGTAGGACCGTCAGGCCTCATGCTGCAAGGAATGTCACAGGCTTCCTATTCAGCTCCTGAAGAAATGAAAAGAAAAAAAAAATTACGAATATGATGCATAAAAATAAATACAAATAAATAGTCGTAGAAAATAATTCTGTATAAGCACAGACAAAACACTTTGTACACACACTACAAGGCTCCCAAACATTTATCTGTTAAGGAACATGAGCATTTTGTCATTGCTGACAAAGATGCACCTTGTGCAGTGTGTACTTTGAAGCCTGAGCAAAGTTTTGTTGTTCTTTCCTTCTTCCAAGGGTAATGTTTTGTAGCAAATAGAATCCAAATTCAAGGCCTAGTTAAATTTTAGCAAGCACTTTTACACAACTACTTAGGTCCACAAAGTACAGTTGCTGCTCCTGCATTGAGGAAGAAGTGAAAATGGCAAGTTCCTCACAAGGAACCTCAGAGGAATTAGGTTATAAAATGCAAGCATATTTTCAGAAAGTATTTGCATGTTTTAAAAGTCAGCAAGGGTAAATGAAGTTACCAGGAACCACCTAATCACCCATCACAAACAACTCATTCGACAGCTGAATCTGCTGGGAGGTTCTAGACTGCTGTCTCAGGCAGGCTGGGAAGGCACTGCTACCTTAAGTAGATTATTGACATGCCTTGCTAGAAACCAGTGAAAATATGCAGGTGACTTCTCAGCACTTTGAAAAAGAACATTCAGGCCCATACGTTAACAGAAAAAAAATCTGTGGAAAAAAAAATAAACAAACTGGTAGATGACAGCGCCTTCATTGTTAGCAAAACAGTTTGAATTTCCCGTCCTATTTATTCTGTTACTTAATAATTTAATGTATCAATATCCCACGTGGTAAAATTAATATTTAAGCTTTAAGAAGTGTGGCTGAGAAGCTTATCATAGCTAAATACTAACTATAAATAAATTCTTTCCAGCCAAAAGACAGCAGCCTGTGACTGCTCCCACCCTGGGAGCTCCTGCAGGCCCCACCAAGCCACCTCCCACACTGCCAATGGTTGCTGCTTCACACAGATGTGGCACTTAGCAAGCCCCTTCAGGAGTACTCCCCTCCTGGGGATTGATAACTGGCCTTCTTAATGCTGGGATGTTGCATTTCCTCACCTCTCTCTTTTTTCTGAAACAAAATATAGGTCCCTGTTATTGCTGGGCAGAGGACAAGGGAGCAGAGGGCAGATGCCATCTGAATGTGCTCTCACTTGATCGGAGTTGATGAAGCTTCTTTATAACCTGTCCTTGGTTGTACTTGTGTTATTACACACTCAAAGTCCCTGTATTTTCCAATAATGGAAAAGCATTTGCTATACATTTAACAAAATGACTCCCAATTCCCTAAGTTCCGTGTACAAGTTTTGCCAGTGTAGACACCCTAGCAATGAGCAAAGTGAAGATGAGACAAGGAGATCACGATGAGAACATTGTGCTCACAACTTTGTCATGAATCAGCGTTTTGCCCACATGTAGAAGCTTACAGCAGGAACCAGGGGACTCTGGATCCTCACTTGCGCTGGCCACTTTGGCATGGGTTCCTATGTCACCAATATAGGGACAGTTGCACAACCTTCTCTGTCCAAACATGGACTATGACCATCCTTAACTAGCAAGGCATTTTCCAAACAAGCTAAATGCCCTATTCTGAGAGGAATGACTAGTGGGAGTCAAAGGCAAGCTTCTTGGGAGTAAAGTTGCTGGAAAAAAAAAATAAACATAACAACATGAGCCTCCTTAATCTTCCCCTTTCAAGGCAGATAGCGACCTGATTAGTTCTGCATCTCAGGAGTCTGCTCATCTTCCTGTGCCTTCAGCTCCTGCTGTCAGCAGCCTATTATTTCTCTCATTGTCTGTGATTTTAGCTGACTGTGACATTTTTTACTCTTGCCTTTTGAGACAAAATGTGTTTGCCTGAGATAAAAAGAAAAAAAAAAAAACAACCTTCCACACCTAACTTGAAATTAAACCTACTAATACTGATTTAAAATGAATATTAGATGGTCCAATTTATTCTTTTAAAGTAACAAGCAGTAGGGAACAGAATCACACTCCTGACTACCTGATTCCCTCAAACACTTCTTACCTGCACCTTCCTTCTAGGAGGGAAGCCTTGGCACAACACACCAGGGAAACAAGCAGACCTCGACCATCCACATAAGTACCCGGTGTCTCCAAAGGTGCTTCAGGGTGTCACTCTCCTGGCCATGTTCACACTGGGTTTTGATTTGTGCAACTCTCAGGTACCACAGGATGTCCCCAATTACATTAGGCAACCAATCAAGTTGGCCTGCCCTCTGCTCAGTGCTATAATAATGGTGGCTCTTCCCTAAGGAGTGGCGATGGGCATGCACCTGTTGCCCAGCAACAGCCAAACTATCAGAGTGCTATTAATGCTGTGTTGACTGAAACCAGGTCATGGGAAGGGTGGTTCTGTGCAGTGCCGACTCAAGCGATGGCAAATAATCGTATGCATTTTTATGTATTGGCTAAACAGCAAAGAACGTGCAGCTGTACTTTCACTTTTGATAAAGGAATTTGAAAATAGGTTTCAGACTGTCCCTGTCAGGGAGGTTCTCCAGCCTTCTCATCATTTTCATGGGAAATGCCTCTGCCTCTGGACCTGCTCCAATCAGCTCGTTATCCTTCTTGAGTTGGGGACCCCAGAACTGGATGCAGTAGTTAAGGTGGAGTCTCAGGAGGGCAGTGTAGAGGGGCAGAATCACCCCCCTCAGACTGCTGGTCATGCTTCTCTTGATGCAACCCAAAATACGGTTGGCCTTCTGGGCTGCAAGCGCTCATTGCTAAATCATGTTGAGTCTTTCACCAGCTGACATCCACAAATCCTCTCCTCAATGCTGTTCTCAAGCCATTTCCCACCAAACTTGTATTTATGCTTGGGATTGCCCTAGCCCAGATGCAGGGCCTTGCACTTGGCTTTGTTGAACTTCATGAGGTTGGCACGAGCCCACCTCTCAAGCCTGAAGGGATGGCATCCCTTCCCTCTAGGGAGTTAACTGCACCACTCAGCTTGGTGTCATCTGCAAACATGCTGAGGGTGCACTTGATCCCAGTGTCCATGTCACCTACAAAGACATTAAACAGCACTGGTTCCAACACCGATCCCCGAGGAACGCCGCTTGTCACCAATCTCCACTTGGACACTGAGCCACTGACTGCAACTCTCTGAGTGCGACCATCCAGCCAATTCCTTATCCAGCGAGTGGTCCATCCATCAGATCCATCTTTCTCCAATTTGGCAACCACGATGTTATGCAGGACGGTATCTAATGCTTTGTACAAGTACGGGTAGATGATGTCAGTTGGTCTTCCTTAATCTAATTATGCTGTAACTCCATCATAAATTGTCACCAAATTTGTCAGGCGTGACTTGCCCTTGATGAAGCCATGTTGGTTACCAGTCATCACTTCATGTTTATTTTCTATGTGCCTTAGTAGGGCCTTCAGGAGGATCTGCTCTATGATCTTGCCAGGCACAGAGGTGAGACTGACCGACCTGTAATTCCCTGGATCTTCTTTTTTCCCCTTCTTGAAAACCTTTTTCAGTCAGTAGGAACTTCTCCAGACTTCCATGGCCTTTCAGATATATTGGGTAGCTGCTAGTCAACTTCATCCGCCAGTTCCCTCAGAGTCCATAGATGGATCTCATCAGGTCCCATGGACTTGTGCACCTTCAGGTTCTTTAGATGGTCTTGAGCCTAATCTTCACTTACAACAGGCCGATATTCCTTCTCCCAGTTCTTACCTTTGCTTTCTGCAGCTTGGGCAGTGCAGCTAGAGCTCCTGCCAGCAAAGACTTTCATAATCCCTATCTTACCAGAGAAAAATATCTCTCACTTCACAGTTAACCCTCACTCATGTCATCGCTTTTTGGCAGTATATGCATTTGTGAACAACTATTTTCAAGGATGAAGTACAGGAAGAATGAAATTTCATCAACAAGTCTCTGATGAGCACCTTGAGACCTCTCTAAGAACTGCAACCACTTCCATCAAACCAGCCTGATGCATTAATTTCACAAAAAGGTCAGATATCCCACTAGTTTTATGTTTTTGTTCCTCTCTTTTTTAGTGTTTTAAGAAAAATATTAAAAATTTAAATGTTTTGTTACTTACATATTAGCAATATTGTATATTTTATGAGAGCTGCTCTAAAACTAAGGTATCTTGTTTTATTGTGTTGGCCCATGATGCCCAAGGCAGTAGAAGTTGAAGCAGCCTACCAATATTCCATTACATTTTTTTTTTTTTGCTGTATGAAAGATGGCAGCAAGGGGCAGTCTGACACAAGGGCATCTGAAACAAAGATCTATCATTGAATTCCTCCATGTGGAAAAAAATGCACCCACCGACATTTGCCAATGCTTGCTGAATGTTTATGAAGACCAAACAGTGGATGTGAGCACACTGAGGTGGTGGGTGGTATGTTTCAGCAGTGGCAACAGTGAGTCACCTCCAATGCTATAGATTTTTACGGCATGGATGCAGGCCCTTGTTCATCGCTGGCAAAAATGCAGAGCTAACGGTGGTGACTACGTTGAAAAATAGTATTTTGTAGCTGAGAATTTTCTCTATCAAATAGTGTTATTGGGCACTTTGTATCTGTAGTAATTTCCATGGAAATAAATAGGAGGCATTACTCTTGGAACAACCTACGTATATATGGCCCAAGACAACTCCTAATCATTCGGCGTGGCCCAGGCAAGCCAAAAGGTTGGGCACCCATGACTTAGATACTGCTATACACGTCCACAAGGTTGTTTTCTTCTATTTTGGGCAGCTTTAATCAGCAAAGCATCCTCTTATAAGAGTATTCAAAATACAATATATGAAACAAACAGTACTTAGGTTTCACTATGAAGAAGTAACCCAAAGTAAACAGATTAATACTACAGCTTTACAGTTGTGTAATTTGTACTGGATGCTTTGCCTAAACAACAAACAGAACTCTCAACTATTAATTTCAATATACATCATGCACACTCAATTATCAACATGAATCGATGCTTTTTAAGCCACTAATAATTGCTGATTTGGTGGAAAAAGACATCCTTCTGATGGCTGACTTTGGCCAAAGCACATTTACAAAAAAACTTTGTTGCTACTGTGCAAAAAGGAACACAGTGTTAAAGAAACACATTACGTAGTGATTCTTAATAGCGTGCTCACAGCGCAAGAAGAAAAAAATTTGAACTAAATGGGGGAAAAACAGAACTCAGAAATACTTATTCACTGTAACAATTATTCTCAGAAATAAATGTTCATAGGCAAGTCTTTGAATCAAATTCAGCTGACTGTGTGGCTCTTCCTATTTAAGAATCTTCTGCAAAGGACAAGGTGAACATAACAATGTAATCTTTATTCAGAAAGGCTCATAGTGAGATTCTGTATATAGGCAGAAGGAAACAAGTGGTATGAATCGCATGAATTCAGAAACTGAAATATGAGGTAAACAGCATCAACATTAGAATACTATAGAAGAGAAATAAAGCAGTTTTAATAAAATAAATGTCAAAATTCCCTTTGGTCTGAAATTTGAAACGTAGCACGCTCCACTTTGTAGAAATGAATTATGTGTAACTGTTTCATAGCATCAGGGATAAGTTCATTATATTGACTGAATAACAAATACATATCATTTAGTGATTGTATAATCAATGAACATAAAGATGTTATAATTACGAAATAAACCAGACAGTCTGTCTAAGCAGATTATAATAACAAAAAGAGAATAGATAAAGTGCTTACCCGTGTCCTGGGCTCACCGCAAATCTCCAGAGGAGGGATCTCCAGAAGAGATCCTTTCCCACTGGCAGTCAGCTCCTAAATGGGTCTAGGAGAGGTGAGCCAGGTTCCACCCCTTCCGGCAGCCCAGGTGAATTGCCTTCACCTGTGCTCCCATGGCTGACTCATTGCTCGCCTCAGGTGATCAATCAGGTTCAGGCCGTGACTCAGCAGTTCCCATACAGCAATATACCAAAAAATAGCACAGTATTTATTTTTCCTCGCATTCAGGCCCGTTGAACATGTGATTTATGTGTTTTTCTAGATCAGTGGAAGTGATTACAAAGCGTAAGAACTAAAATGTGCTTAAATAATTTGGTTGTGAGGGTCTACCAGTCTTTGGTCCTTGGGTTTGAAGTTTCATGCGACTGCTCATGTAGCTTTGATATCTCCAGGAAAAAGGCTGCAAACACTTTTGCTCCTTCAATATAGTTGTGTCTGTGAAAAAGGAAAGAGAATAAAGTCCTCAGATCAATCAGCTTTTCAGCTAGTGGCCTACTCCAAGTTTTGAGTATCTCAGGGAAATCTGTGAGGATGCCCACCAAAAAGAACCAACAAAAGTTTCTTAGTATTATTAAAAAAATCACCCATGTATTAGCACAAGTTTAACAAGCAAAACTAGTCTGTCACCCCCTTAACTCTGTCTTTCATCATTGATTATTCTGGTTCAGGAGAAGGCTATGAGGAAAACCACCTCTGCAAGGATGAGAAAAATATTGTGTCCTAAGTCCTCCTTCGTGCCTGTGATGACTGCAAATTTCTCTGTTTGTCCTTGCTTTTTCTTACAGCGGAAATGAACAAATGAAAGAAACCTGCTTATTTTCTCATTCTGGGAGTGTTCTCCATCATCAGCTGCTCCAATTGGAAACATTATCACTCTTTTCTGTGTTATAGTCTGAAAGATTCTGGCAATAGGAATTGTTGAACCATCCCGAATGAAATCTGGATCTTCTCCAAAAACTGAAACACATGCAAAGAATGAATTAATTGTTAACTGAAATAAAAGATGCTTTCTTCTACTACCAAATACCTACATTCTGCTCAAACATGAATAGCTTGAGTAGAAATTGTTATGAGAGCACAGTCAATTGACTTAACAAATCAGTTGCACTTTACTGTTCCATCTCTGTATGAGTACATGAAAGAACTAAACAAGCTTTTTTGGCTGGTCCTAGCAAATGCAGACCAACTCAGCAAGATATGAAAGGCTTTGTGACTGAGTTGTTCTGTCAAAATCAGTGAGGTTCATTATGGTGAGTATAGCACGGTCCTTTTTCTTTGTGGATGAGCACATTTCCCCTGCAGACTTGCAGATATATCAAAAACTGAAAAAGAAGAGACATACCTGTTCTTATTGCCCTTTTTGCTGCTTTATATAGTGGATCATTAACATCAGCGACCCAAGGTTTGGCACCCAGGGGCATGGACACCTTCAGTTTGTTTGGACTGTTCCTCTTGGCAAATACATTCTCCAAATGGTCCACCACCTGCAGGGCAAACACTTTCCATCTAGCATCTTTCATCTTCTTGAAACTACCCTTGTAAACAGCTAAATGCAAGAAACATTCATTCAGTTTACTATGGAGGTTGTAAAGATGTGAGGTGCTATGAGGACTTAGCTTACACAATAGAAAGTACCTGGCTTTAGCTTCTTACCTGTTGTTTCACATCTGAAAGATCCATGTTGGGGACTTGGCGGATTGAGAATTTCCCTATGACTTTTGCTGGAATTACTGTTTTAATTCCTGGTTCATGAAAAGCTCCTTCAATCCCATGAATAGAGAGAGAAGGATAATGCCACAGGTGTAGAAGTATTTCTTCCTTCAAAAAATAAGATAAAAAATAGAAGGGATGACACTGGAGCTGTGCACAATTGGTAGAACCAAACTGAATTAGCACACTTTTTCCATCCACCTGGTACATTTAGAACACAGAGCTCTCAAGATGTTTGGTTTGTAACTTAAACTGATGCTATCTTTTCATTTCAAAAAATACTTCTACTTCCTTCCAGTCTACATTTGTTTCCGTTTAGAAACATTTAGATGAGAAAAGCCTTTCATACAAAATAAGAAAGTTGAAGCACAATTAAAAATATTTTGGCAGTGAATTTTTTAGTGCCAAGTTACAGCAGAACAACTGATCTGACCGTCTGTGTATCTCAGTACTTGTACAGAAGAAACCTGCGACCAGTTCAGCCAGACCGAATTCAGATAACACAAGAGAGAAATTGTACTAATGACCCAAGTGGTGAGTGGAAAAGGGATAATGTTCAGTAACTGGTATGATGTCTTTTCCTGGAGGAGATAAGGGGAAAAAAATAAATAAATAAAAAAGTGCTCATTCTAAAGAGGAGAGGAGTGATAGGACATCTTTTTTTTCTTTTTTTCCTCCTTTTTTTCTTTTTTTTTCTTTTTTTTTGTTCCTAGTAACTGTGTGAACTGGATTGAGTGCAGAACTCCAGAGTGCCTCTCTGTCTTTGTACTCCAGCTTTCTGAGACTGGAGATTTATGCATACATGCAATTTCCACTATTTCATCCACATCTAGGAAAAGCATCAAAACTTATTTACTGTTAATTATACTTATAGAAGACCAGTTACTACAGTCTAGCTTAGGCCATTTCAGAAGCTTTTTCACAGAAATAAAAGCTAATATTGATATAATTACATTAGTGATAAAAATATTAAATACCCCTTTTCCCAGCTGCAAGTCATAAAATCACAGAATCATAGAATGGCCTGGGTTGGAAAGGGCCACAATGCTCATCTAGTTTCAACCCCCTGCTATGTGCAGGGTCACCAACCACCAGACCAGGCTGCCCAGAGCCACATCCAGCCTGGCCTTGAATGCCTCCAGGGATGGGGCATCCACAGCCTCCTTGGGCAACCTGTTCCAGTGTGTCACCACCCTCTGTGCAGAGAGATCTTTCTAAGCCAGCCCTTATCTGTAATTTTTATTTAGAATGTATTTTTTAATTCTGGCAAAGTGGCTTATAACCAAACTGTTTAGTTTGCATTATTCTTTTTCATTGATTTTTCATATTTTTGATTGCTTTACCCTGAAGCTTTCATTTTCCACAGATTAATTTTGTTTATTTTTTGGTGCTCTATGTTCCCTTATTTTTAGTTTCCCTTTGGCAGAAAATATCTTTCAGTTTGGCTTTATCCATAAACACTATGAATGTGTAATTTAAATTATTTCTGCTATGCATTTATGTTTACCTTGGTGCTGTAAAGGAGTTTTTTCACTCCACTATTATTTTTGTGTTCCTCTATATCATATTCAGTAGATTCACACAATTTCTTATCCTCATCTGTCAGGGCAGCGACAGCATCATAGATTCCAGGGATCCGAATATGACCTGTGGGATCTACAAGGCTGTCTACAAAAGAAAATGAAGATATCAGTAAAAGTAGGACTTCTTTCTTCTACTTGGCAATTGCAAGTCCTTTTCCCTTTTAATTAACTCTTTTGAGTTAATGAAATGAATAACTCTAACAAACAACTACTCTAACTGTTTGCATCCATCAAGTTGCCTCACTTGATGCATTTTCATGTTTAGTAAGAAAAGCACTGAGCTGGTATTTGTTTGCAGGGTGTAGTGGGTCAGCCCAACTGCATGCATGAGAGCATCATCCCACTCAGAAACAAATCAGCATTAGATTGGGCACTGCTACTTGCATACATATTCAGATTGCCCACAGACCTAACCCATCCTAAATTAACAGATGAATATTAGACTGAAAGCATAGCAGACATATGTCTGCTCTTACAAGGGACATTCCCTTCCTCAGCTGCTCTGAGGTATGAGCTATGCTGAGCTTTGGAAACCTAGGAATCATGCTTCTGTTGGACTTGCCCTACACAGGTCAATTAAACATAGCACTGATCTTCATTGGGTTGATGGCTAGTTACTGTTCCCCAGCTACTCTTGCAACGGTGCATGTTATTACCCAGCAGAGCTATCAGGTCAGTCAGCGGCTCGTGAATGATGCCTCCAAAAGTTCCAGAGTGAAGATCCTTGTCACCACCTTCTACCTGTGCCAAAAACAAAGTTTACATATCAGTAGTCCCCACCTCATTCTTTTGTGAGTATTCATTTTCCTCAGAAACTGGTAGCCTCACCTTTTCAAACGAGGCCACAAATAGAAAACTATTATGTTTCTATTCATAAAATGGGAAACATGTCAGGAACAATCTGCTATTAGTAAAGAGAAGATAGGTCTCTGTTGTTAACCAATGGAGAGAGAAATTCAGCTGTCTATACTACTTACAGGTATTTGAAAGAAAGAATCCTTCTCCATTCCCTCCTTTACTTCAGTAAAATTAAATACATCATAACTATGTTGCATATTGCAGTTTTTAGCATTGTAGAATAAGTGCAAAAATCTTCATAACAAAGGCACAACCTTATTCTACATTTATAAAACATATGTCCAAGTTTGAATTGAATTGCTGATTGTAACAAATAAGAATTCAGAGCTCTCTTGAATCACACAACTTTAGAACAGAGAAAGGCATTTGGTTTATTAAATGGGTTATTTTTCCAGACACGATTTCACGCTCAGGTTTATTGCAAAATATATTCCTGCAACAAACTTGTTTATTCTTCTCTAAACCTCATTACAGCCAACTGTCTGGAAGCAGGCAGAGGTCATTTTTGATGTTTTAATGTTCTCATTTTTCTTAACCAAGACTTGCACGAATTGAATAAAAACTACTGAGGTTCTTTTGGTTAAAAACAAATTTTCATTCTTTTTCAAACATGAAGGTTAATGTAGATCTTTTTTTAGTTGTCTAGTTCTTTATTCCTCTCTCTGAATTCTTTTATGCTTAAAGTTTCCAGCAATGAAATTTCACTTCACAGTAGCTCACGCTGGCTGCTCAATATAATGCAGTGCACCATTATTTGCTTCCGCCAATGGTTAAAAAAATTTTGCACTGCTTCTAAACTCAGAGATCCAACTGAACTGAATGTCTTTAGGCAGTGATGTTGCATTTAGCAATACCTGCTGAAGAAGGGCAAAAAAAAGCAGCAGGAGGAATAGGTTTGGAGGGGCAGTCATCTACTACAGAAGAGGGCTGATGTGAGGATGGGGCAATCAGAAACAGCTGGAACAGGAGAAGGAGAGTAATGGTATAGGGGAGAGATCAAAAGCGGAGAAATGACAACTGAGGAGAAACTAATGAAAGCAAATAAGGCTAACAACTGAAACAAGGAGGGAAATCTGCACAAGCAATGAAAAGCATGGAAGGAAGAGCTGCATTTGTAAATACTCAACTTGCTCTCAGCCTTTCTGTGCATTCAGAGACAGATGCGATCTCAGATACATCACTGCTCACTATCAGGGACCCACTTCACACAAACCCACGTCCCTCACCTCCACAGAGAAGCAGGCATTGCCTCGAGTCCCACATATAAGGGCAGGCTTCTTCTTGCTGAGCCAGAGGTTGTCTGAAATCACAATGTAATCAACGTCTGATAAAAAGCCCTGTTTTTCTTCTTCAAGAAGCTTCTCCAGCCCCAGAGACCCTGCTTCCTCCATGCCTTCAATAACAAACTTGAAGTTTACTGGCATAGCCTGAATGAACATCAGAGAAGTCTGGATAAGGAACAAGCACTTTCAAAAATAAAGAGGAATCTGTAAAAGGCAAAAGCAGGCTGACTTACAACACATATTCAGAAGAGAACGACATGGAATATATGGATTGTTTTAATAGAAATGCATTGGTAGATACATACATACATACAGTTTTCCTGCTAAACCTGTTTTTCTTTTTTTTTGTTTGTTTTTTGTTTGTTTTTTTTTAATAACAATGCATTAAGAAATATCTTTTCACTTCTATTTCCATAAAACTTTTTGGGTTGCCATGGGATTTCTCTCAGTAATATTAAATATTGATGACTTCGGAAAGTGTGGGTAATAACAATTGCATTTTCACAGAAAATATCTGGTCTCTTAAACTTGCACTACTAGTGCCCATCTTGGAATCACTTGCAAAATTCCACTGCTGCTGTTTTCCCAGCATGTTACCCATGATGAAGGTTAGTCACCTGGTGGTGAAAGTGCTCTTGGCGAATCCCTGATAGTTGTCCTCATGAGCCTGTAGCCCTGTTAGCTCATAAGAATGCATTTCTAAGAGTAACTAGGAGAACTTCTGTGAAATATTGAGTTACAAGTGCTGACCTGTCCTATAGGAGAAACAAACGTGATCTCAGATTCCCATTTCAATTCATTTTCTGATTATAGGCTGTAAGGATGTTCTCTGGTTTGATTCAATTCTCAAATTAAGTTCAGGAAGAAATGCTTAGATTTAAATTAACTTGTGCAATGAATATGTTCACCAACGGCTCATCAAACAACCACAAAAATTCAGAAACAAACCACTCATGAGTATTGCCGGATGGTCTGTGCTGCTTTCTAGGGGAAGGTGTAATGACAAAGATTTATTTTTGTCTGCTTATTAAATATGACCTCATAGCTGTTAGCAATATGATAAAAGCTTTTGACACTGTCTCCTGCACAGTATTCTCCTTTGCGGGACAATGACAGCAGGACCATTTTTACATTGCTTACAGACTACTGACAATAAAAATAGTCAAGTACACATTCATACTGGAGGGGGATAAGTGCAGTATAAATGGCATTAGAAATAAGCTAGTATTTCAAGATACACATACACTGTTGGGACTGAAACATATTATCTAAGTCACAAGAAGGCAAATACATTCCTCCAGAGAGATACTACAATAATAACCAAGTCCTCACTGATACCTACTATTTTCAAGGCTCTAAACGTTTCCACTGCATTTATCCAAGCCAACACAGGCCCTTTATTATCTGTTGCTCCACGCCCATAGAGATTGCCTTAAATGAAAAAAAAAAAAAAAAAGAAAAAAGCTTTCAAGCAATTTTAAACTTATTTAGTCTCATCAATGCAATCTGCAAATTTCTATTGCCACAGAAGCTGTACCAGCATGTCAAGTGAGCTATCAACAGAATCAGGATTTCGTTGATGGGTTTAAATTAAGGTGGTGGCTGTTTACCAGTGAAATGCTATGTTGGTTTTTGTTGTGATTGTTTTGTTTACTTCATACAGCAGTTTCTGCTACATGCTGGGGCTTTTGTTTGTTTGTTTGTTTATTTCATTATTATTTCCACGCCTGTTTAAAGGAGCTCTTTGATCCCTCCAGATATGCCTGAAGAGTTTGCACAAGATGCAGTTTCAGCATAGGTGACAAGCAGCAAAAGAGCACAGATGAGCACCACCACAGAAGTGCGAACTGCAAGTACAGTTGCAGAATAATTTTTTAACAATCAGCTGTATAGCTACATAGGACAGATTTTAATTTCACGTACAGCAGTAAATATGTGTGGAAGTCCCCACTGTAGGTGAAAGGGTTACCTTACTAAACTTGTTTGAAACCAGTCCCAGCAGATGGGAAACAGTGACTTACTGGCTACAAGACTAGGAACCAGAATGCTGGTGTTCTTGAATTCTCTCACCCTCTAACTCACCATCCACCATTTGTCTTCCTTCAGTGAACTTATCATGCTCAGCTGATTGCAAGGATTGCTACCTCAAGTGAGGACTCATATTCTTCCATCCAGTGGCACCAGGTGAACCTCATGAGATTCAACAAAGACAAGTGCAAGGTCTTGCAGCTGGGTCATGGCAACTCCCACTATCAACATAAGGTGGGGGGTGTAAGGATAGAATGGAGCCCCGCCAAAAGTTCTTGGGGGCACTGGTGGATGGCAAACTGGACATGAGCAAGCAGTGTGCCCGCGCAGTTCAGAAAGCCAACCATAACCTGGGCTGTATCAAAAGAAGTGTGGCAGTGGGTCAAGGAAGGTGATCCTGCCCCTCTACTCTGCACTGGTGAGACCTCACCTGGAGTAGTGTCCAGATGTGGAGTCCTCAGTACAGGAGAGACATGGACCTGTTGGAGTGTGTCCAGAGGAGTGCCACAGACATGATCTAAGGGATGGAACACCTCCTCAATGAAGACAGGCTAAAAGAGCTTGGGGCTGTTCAGCCTGGAGAAGAGAAGGCTCCTGGGAGACCTGAGAGTGGCCTTTCAGTATGTAAAGGGGGCTATAAGAAGGGGACAGACTCTTTAGCAGGGTCTGTTATGACAGGACAAGGGGAAATAGTTTCAAACTAAAAGAGGAGAGATTTAGATTGGATGTAAGGAGAAAGTTTTTTTAAGATAAGGGTGGTGAGGCATTGGAACAGTTTGCCCATAGATGTGTTGGAAGCCTTATCCTTGGTGACGTTCAATGTCGTGATGAACTTACACTCTGAGTAACCTGATGTAGCTGTAGGTGTCCCTGGTCATTGCAGGGGATTTGGACTAGATGATCTTTAAGGGTCTCTTCCAACTGCTCAGAAGATTCTACAGTTCTATGAAATGCTCCTAAGTTCCAGTGTGGCAGGAGGAGATGCTAAAGGATTACAGTGACTGATCCAACAACCCAATCTTAAAGCAGAAGTGGACTTTCTAATGATCACTAAAAAGTGACATTAACCTCGTGTAGCTCTTCCACACCAATTATTAAGCAGTCAGTGATGAGTCTCACAAATCACAGCGTGGTATCAAGAAGTAAAGTTGCTGGATTCGTCCCATCAGATTCCATGGGAGAAGTTCTTGTGCTGTAGTTAACAATATAGGGAACATCCTCCTGCTGGAAATCTCAGAGTCATATTTCAAATGATGACAGAAGAGTTATAATTGGGTACACACCATTGATTTCAGTCAATGTGAAAGGGTCAGTTTTCCAGCCATCTTCTTTTTTGGCAGGCTGTACATCCACGTGGCCATAGAAACAGACGGTGAGGTTTTGGGGATCCTTGCCAAGCTCCCCAAGAATGACAGGTGGCAGTGGAAGGTGCTGGCCATTCAGCAACTGTAGATCAACATTATAAAAGCAACCTTTGAAAACTTGCAAACATTATAAGAACTGGAGAACTCATTGCAAATAATTCTGCATATTCAGTTGATTTGATCAAGTCCTTAAATCGGATTTTGAATCGAAATCTAACCCACTTAGAGAGATTAAGACTTTTTTCCTTCATGTTCTGCTGGGACTTTATGGAGCTTCTCTAATATTTTATTGCAATAAATGGACTCTTTACTAAACTAGTACTTCTCAGTACTGAAGGAGAGAAAGTTGACTGTATGCTGTGTTGACAAAAGCATATCTTGTGACATTAAAATAGTCAAAAGCTACACAGAAGCTAATTTGGGGACTTATTTTTCAACAGACAGATGGTAGGAGGATTGCAACTTCAGATAAAGAAACAGAATAAAACTTTGCTGGCAGCAGAAATTTGGTAATGTTTTGAAAACAGGTTGTGGCTCTAAACTACTTTTATAATTCACAGTTATGCAGAACAGATCACCACATCTTGGCCAGGAGAGGCTGGACATCTCACAGGGGTGAAAAATAAGAGCTAAAAGAATGCACGTATCTCCTCAAATTCACCAGTAATATTGATTTGCATAAATCTGTTGAATACTAAAATGTAGCTACTTCTTGCCCAGCAATAGAAGGCCCTAAGCAGAAAGATGTGCCTCTGATCTCTGCTTCAACAACAGGTAATGCATTCCCTACTGTTATTGACACAGGCTGTTGATATATATCTTGGCAATCATAATTGCATGCCATGTGCTCAGGTTTTAATTTTAAATGCATTCATTTTGACTAGTAAGTGACATGGCCTGATAGTAATAAAATATTGCTGTGCCGCAAGATTCTTGAGTTGAGAGGTTCACTGACCTTCCCGGGAGCCTCATAGGAAGGAAAAGTGAATCCCTGGTCATGAGTTTTGAATTCCTCTGAGCACAGAAAGCCAGCAGCTTGGGGCAGGAAAGAGCCACAGCCTCAATGAGATGAGTAAACTGGAGATAAACATTTCTCAGAGGCTAACCCTTACCTGTTGTTTTCCAAGAATCATTGAGCCCCTCAAAAAACAAAGATGACACTTAAGGTCCTATTTCTGGTAACATTTTCCTTGAAAAAGTTGCTTCCTCGTATGGAGACTTTGGTGAAGAGCTGATGCATTAACTGTGGTACATCATCAAGAAGAAAGTTAAAATAAACCATGGTAAAAATTCAGACCTTTTTCCTTTTCTTTCTGTCCTACAATTAATGGGTAAAACATGACACATGCACAAATATGACATTTTAAATACAAGGAATGGACATGCACCTGCTGTGACCCCAGGCTTACTGAATTAACAGTGGCTCCCAAAGCTGCAAGCCTGGCTGCTGCCAATGACATCATTCGTACAACTTCTTTCCTCAGGTCTGGTTGCACAGAATCACTTTCCACAGCCACCCATTCCTTGAGATTCTGCACAGGAAGAAAAGAACAGCTCAATAAGCTGGTTGGTCTAAAACCTAGGAATGTGTGGTGATTTAATCTTCGTATGTGAAAGCATCACACTGGAATATGTTTTCCTTTCCATCCTGTCAGCAATATGACGGAAGCTGTATGTTTTCCAACTGGTAAAGATTCGCCATGAGCCAGGATTGCCTTTCTTATGCTTAAAATGCACTCACCAGCCTTGGCCCCCAGCAAATCATTAGAGCCCCATGCCAACCCGTCTCTGCAACGCTCCCTGGCATTAGCAGTAGGAGCTGTGAGGTCTGGTCACTTCTCCTATTCTGGTACATTTTGATTCAGTGGAGCCTCTCTGCCCAAGCCCGGTCTGCAAATGTCCATGCAAATACCTCTTCCACCTGGAGAGTCCCCGGCATCGATTGTCTTTTTGCAACTTTGCTTTGTGGCACAAAGGTGGCATACCCAACTCCAGACCTGAAACCTACTGCTCTCTAAATGGCAAACACTTATCTGTCATGTGGAACGTGAGCCTCCAGTACATTAGTGCTGCCCCTCAACTGTTTCCTAGCAGTACAATTCCTACCTCAATGAAGTCACTTTGATGTGCATCAATGTAGTTGAAGATCTCAGTCTCCAGCACTGATATGGATGACAAGGACATTCTTGCCTTAAAGAGCAGCACAAGGCTGAGGTGGGCACTATCTGAAAGTGAAAGATAAAATTAAGGAGTAGAAAAATCCTGTAACGTGCACTTCTTTTCTGCACTATGAACCACAGACAACTGTGCAGAATACTGAACCTTCTTTAGGTCCTCCAAACCAGGAGAAAGGATATCTGAGTTATTTTATCACATAAAATCTGCAATCATTCATAATCAATCTTCCAAAAGAAAAAAAAAAATAGTGAAAAAAAAAATGACCAAAGAGTAAACAGCTTTGTGCTTTGCAATTTCTGCTTTGGAAGGAAATCATGGGAAGTATTTTCCAAAGAAATTCTCGCTGCATCAGTTTTCAATGCACAGCTGCACGCTGCACATTCTGCAAAGACAGCCGCAGGGGAAGGCTTGCAAACACCAGCACACGGCAGCTGCCCAGGGGAGTCATCTTTCCTTTTCTTCATTTCCAGAAAAGGAGGAAAATAGGTTCCCTGACACACACTCTGTTTTTCACATGAATAAGGAATAACAGCCCCAGCACAGATAACTAATAGCTGCTGTAGGTGAACAACAACAGCAGATATACTGAGACACTTGGTAAGTGCAGAATTCATTTAGTGCTTGCAAACCTCTCTGCATCTTGTTTTTCCTGAGATGAGTGATGATTTTAAAAATGTAATTATTAAAAGTGTTTTTCTTTCTTTCTGAAGTTTTATTTTCTTGTTTCTTTGAAGTTCTTACTGTAGATTCTTGAATAGGTGTTAACGAAGTAATATATACAGTGAGGCTAAATTCGGAATAGCTGCTGTGTTGGGCTGGGTGATGGGATGAATCCCAAGGTCAAGACCCCGCACATTGACTCTATGCAGGTCCAGCCATAATTCCTTAACTCAGATGCATCATAAAATGATGATCTATAGCAATAATAATACTTTAAAGTATGTTTTTTTCCAACAGAGGAGTATTGGAAACCTGTGTGGAGAACAGAAGAGGGAAAGAAGGGAAGGGGAGTAGGAGAGTGGAAAGAAGAGCTGGGGTTATCCCACCTGGAGAACAACAGTCAGCTGAGGCATAGTAGTACTAAGTAGCCTGATGTGTTTCCAGCAACAGGCATAGCCATTGTTACTGCAGTGACACTTCAAACCAGCAAAGGAAACGGCAACAACAAAACACAAAAACTTCACTTTTTTTTTTCCTAAAATAACCAGACTAACTCCAGTCAAGATTTTCAGTTAGTTCATCTCCTAGACCTTAATTACTTCAAAGTGTTTGCAATCTTGATCTTTAAAATCAAACTAGAGAAAGCAAACCTCCAAGATAATGATAACTAAAAACTGCTTCTGTAATTTCAGTATTGACCTAAAAGCCTGCAAGACCTGTTTTTAAACAGGGAGCTCTTTGTCCCTTTGTCAAAGCACATTTACCTGTAAAAACTACAGATTTGTTTTCCTGTAGAGACAAACTAGACAAAACAGCTTTGAAAATAATCTCTGAAACACTGCTTCAGCCGTGCCTTCTAGGAATTTGGTAAAGAACAGATCTTGAAGTTGAAAACTGAACATAGAGATCCCTAACATATGAAGTCCAGGCACCATTTTTCAAATCCTCCTTTCAAGCACAGTTTCTTACACATTACCAGTGACACAAGCCATTCTTTGAAGTAAAAACTTGAGAAGCTTTGAGACACTACATGTAATCACCACTGTCCGGTTCCTCATTCCTGCTGACACTGGCAGCACTGGTATTGCCAGAGACCAAATGCCAGTTCTGCAATACATTAGAGCTGCAAAGCACAGCTACAGAGGTCGCCTGTTGATTGAGACAAGAAAAATCCAAACCCAGGGCAATTTTAGGATGGAGATGTTAAGTGTGAAATATAATTTAAGTGATAAGATTTGAAGGAAAATATCATAAAACCATTAAGGCCTGAAAAGACCGCTAAGATCATCTTGTCCAGCCATCAACCCATCATAAGAAAAAACAAAAATCAAACGATGGTCAAAGAGGCACATTCTTCCCACGCTGTTTTCTTTATGAGAAGGCAAACCTTGCCTCCAGCAGGTGGACCTAACCAACCATCATCTTCAAATACTACTATCGTCCATCACAGAAGCAACAATTTGGCATAAAACAAAAGGGATTTTTCAAGCAAGCATGAAAACATTCAAGACATTTAAGAGGAGACAAGCTTTTAGGATTTAGCAACAAAAATGTAGTGGAGAATGAGGATTTGGACTTTAGTAGGTAAAGTTATTATAGACATCTTTGGATGGATCTTCAGTAGGGATGACTTAATAACAGAAGTTTCTCAACTAGCATCCCAAACTTCAAAAGCCCAGTCTGGCTATTTCTTCCAGCCTTTGGCTGTGCAAAAGGCTGCAAAAATTTGGCAACTGAAGTCCATTTTATAGAGAACAAGCATAATCACACATACCACCAGCAGGATTTCCCAGATGCAGAGAAGACAAGGCTGGGGATCCCATGTGGGGGCGGTGGTGGCTCTTCCCTGATGAACAAGGTTTACTGACAAAAGTGAAATTCTGACACTTTCCAGGGTGCTGCCTGGATGGATACAGAGGTTATTTGGGCTGTGATGCTGCAGGCTGTGTCTGAAAGAAGCCCAAAGTACTGGGGGATGATAAATGTTAGGCAAGAGACAGGCATAGAGGCAATCTTTATGCAGTTTGTAACAGCTCTGTCTGCATGATTTTGCACCACCTCACTTGAACCAGGAGCAGATTACCTTCATGTTGTCACAAATCCTCCTCAGTTTCATATACATTTCATTCGTTCTTTCTAGTTTGTTGTTTCTAGACCTTGACAGGGTAAGTACTTGCAATGAATGTGTCCTGATTGAACCTTATTCTGTAAAACAAAACAGGCTTTTCTAGTTTCAGCTACCTAAAAAAAATACCTTTTGGGTATGTTGCACTTGAACAAGGAAGATCAGAACACAGGTTACAATATAGTTGTTAAAGTAACCACATTCATACAATGAACAAGTACTGATTTCTCCATCATCCATAGTTTTCCCTCTTTCTGTTCATGCATTCCATCTTTCTGAATTGCATGCATTTTCACTGTAAAAAAAATAGATGAGTATATATATTTGGCAGCTTTGGGTGACTTGAAGAAACGCAGTTCTTTTAATATTACACAAAAGTCAGTATCACAGGAGGGCTTTTACATTGGAGACTTATAGTATGGTGAGGTTATCTCCTTCTTTATATGGTACATATGAATGACCTGGAAGAGATGCAGACAAGAGACATACATTTTCAAGTCATGTCTTATTAGCTTCTAACCACTTAAGAAAATGAAAGAAGGATTCTAAAACCCTGCGGAAGGAAAAAGAAAAAACTCCTTCAAGCAAGCAAAACATTCTAGAAACAAGTGAGATAATTGCGAGGTTTTTCAGAGACAACCTTCACTAAAAGTTTATAGAATGTCATAAGATTTTCTTTAAAGAGATAAGCATTAAACAATGGCAAAGTTCAGAAATTGAATGCAAGGAGATACTTACACAGTCCTCCAAAGCAGCAGAGCACACCGAACACTCAAACAAGAAATTAGGTAGCAGAAATGTTGTGCTGCACTTCAGGGAAACAGGGAGCAGCAGATGGGGCTTCTCATCCACGCATTGCTCATGCACAAACAAGGCTGACAGAAAGTGTTTGGACAGTGTCTGGGAAAGCTTGTGCAAAAAGAAGGTCGGTTTGATAATGGAGTAGAAAGATTTCAGGCAAGGCTGAAACAGCTCAGTGTTGCAAGGAGGGAAAAACAACCTGAAAGGATGATAAAGCCTGCAAAAGAAGGAACATCAAACAAAGACTTCAGTGTTCAATTTCAAGTGTGTTTGACTTGTTCTCATTTTAAAGAGCAGTTGCTGCCCTATAGGAAAGTGCAATATGACTATTTTTAGAAATAATTTCTGACAGTCGCGCAGTTTCTCTTCCTGTGTTTCTTTGCAGTGAGAACACCGCGTGTCTCATTTCCTTCCATCTCTTTTAGTATGTTAAAAGAAAACTTGATTGCCCTTAAAGGATGATTTAACAAGAAATCCAAGCTGATTCTTTAACTTGGATGTGTATGTGATAAAAGACCAGCTAAGTTTACAAAGATTTGAGAACTCCTGAATGTGCTTTTCCACCATTCTCCCCATTCTTGGCACGTTTATCTTAGGTGATTCCTCCCAGAGATGCTGAGATGCAGCATTTGACTGGGGAGCTGCAGAGATTACGGATGAGAACTGAACATTTTACAACCAAGCTACAGAAAAAATAAAGGCAGAAACCACCTAGTTTTCAAATAATAAAAATAAAATTTGATGTGAAAAGAAGTAAAAAAACGTGTGTGGCGGTAAGAGTTTATTGATGGTGGCAGGCTCCCTTGAGAGGAATACTCCCTCTATCAAATCACCGTCATTTAACTTCCTTTCATGATATTCAGAAAGAAGTGCTCCCTCTTTAATGGAAGCAGGCAGCCAAGGACCAGAGGCCTCTCCAGCTGGGTGAGGCTCTGCGAGGCGGTGAAGCACAGCTCTGCAGGCCAAGGACAGACCTCATGCAGCCACTAGAGGTGTAACAACATGGAGCCACGCAGATCTGGACATGAGTACCCTCACAAAGCCTGACTGTGTGGAGATGGTTAAAGAAACGGCATCAAGTCCAGAGAGCTGCATAACAGCAAGGATGCTGTTTGGCGGGGAGCAGAGGTGACCCTGGCACTTGCTGCCAGATGAGGCTGCAGCCTCCAGCAGAAACCCTGAAGAAGCATTGAATGTGAGCTGCCTTGAGAGCTTTTCAGAGAACAGCAATGGTCATCCTTGCACTTTTTTGCTCACACTGACTCCCAGAGAAAAAAACAAGCCTCTGTTTATCGGTTCTGGTTTGCTATATTGCAATAATAGTGAAGAAGAAAGCCCTTACCTCTTTGTTTTCTTGTTTTGCAGCTTTATAGCTGGTGATGAGACTCTGAGCCAAAAAAGATCTCCTCTGCCACGTGCAGAGCAAGGGCGTTAATCTCAGTTCATGGTAGTGTCCTGTCG